AAAAAAAAAAAAAAAAAAAGAAACACGTCCTCTGCTGCTGCTGTCGGCCAATTTGGCTGTTCTTCCTCCTTGTTCCTCATTTCTCCTCGTCTGTTATGCGCACAAAAGCAGACTGCCGAAAAACAGAAGAGCAAGGGTATCCTTTCCTTCTGCTCCAGATCGGAGCCATGATTTCCAGAGTGATTGTCTGCCTATGGCAGACCTTCCTGTCTTTCATGGGTCCATTTGTGGGCTTGTGAGGGTGTAAACCTACAGTTGGGGAGCGGTGCATCTGCTGTGGGCGGGTGAGGGTCTTATTTGGTATTCATCACAACAATTGCTGGCTTGTGAGGGTGTAAACCTACAGTCGGGGAGCGGTGCATCTGCTGTGGGTGGGTGAGGGTCTTATTTGGTATTCATCACAACAATTGCTGGCTTGTGAGGGTGTAAATCTACAGTAGTGGAGCGGTGCGTCAGCTGTCGGTGGATGACGGTCTAATTTGATATTCATCACAACAATTGCTGGCTTGTGAGGGTGTAAGCCTATAGTTGTGGAGTGTTCCGTTTGTTGTGGGTGGGTGAGGGTCTAATTTGATTTTCTTCATAGGTATCCTAAATGACTGTGGTTGTTGCCTACCTATGGGTATCAGTTGTGAGGCAATGGTTGGTGGGTGCTCACCTGCAGCCGGGGTTAAAGGGAAGTATTACACGCACTGTCATCGTCAGCGGTCTCTGCAGAGTGTGTGCGAACTGTCGAGGGTTCGGCCTCTTGTTTGAGTTGGTGAAAGATTCTTTCACAGATCCCTATTTCTTCTCCTTTCTTTTTCCTTCTCTGGGCAGGTCTTTGTGATGATGTACGGGGAGAGAGAGAGAGAGAGAGAGAGAGAGAGAGAGGTCAGACCTGTCTTAGCAGCTGGGACATGTTTGGTGGGCAACGTTTCTATTTTGGAGGCTAGGCTCCCGTGTTTGTGCGGTTGTATATAGGAGAGGAACGGAATGGGCTCCCGTGTTTGTGTGGTTGTATATAGGAGAGGAACAGAATGACAGAGTGGAATGACAGAGTCTTCTACCCTGCCCCCCCCCCCCTCCCCCCCCCTCCCTCTCTCCCCTCCCCCCTCCCTCTCCCTCCCCCCCCCCCCCCCCCCCCCCTCTCTCTCTCTCTCTCTCTCTCTCTCTCTCTCTCTCTCTCTCTCTCTCTCTCTCTCTCTCTCTCTCTCTCTGTGTGTGTGTGTGTGTGTGTGTGTGTGTGTGTGTGTGTGTGTGTGTGTGTGTGTCTTATTGTGTGCACATAAATACATGTACACCGTAGGCAGACAGGGAGAAGAGGACTCATCAGGAAGCTAAACCCTTCACAGTCTGCAGAGTCACCTAAACGATGAGACTGAAAGTGATAACTCACCTTAACCCCGGTTGTGGTTAAGCATCAACCACTGCCCTTAGGGAACTTGAGACAAAACCAAAGTAGACTATCACTCACCCACAGCAGATAGAAAAACTCCACAGACTGTAGGCTGACACCCCATCACAAGCCCGCAAAACACCCACGAAAAATGTCTGCTCATAGCCGGAAAATACACTCCAGGCATGCTGCTGGTACTAGACGCACAGCATGGTGGTGTGGTTATGGTCCCAACGACCTACATTCAACCTCTGGGGCTTCGAAGTTATGGTATATATCGTCAAACAGAGCTGCCTACGGTAAACCTCTGGGCCAGAGAGGGAGAAGAGGAGAAAGAGGACAACAAATGAGGCGCCGTGACAGACTGTTCCGTTGGAGTTTCTGCAGTCCCCTAACCTACAATACTGAATCTGATAATTGACGTTAACCACTGTTGCAGTTGAGCAACGATGAATGTCGAGGTTGGATCCTCTACTCTCAGGCTGTAAATCCCATCTACAGAGTCCCCTCTATTTTCAGTCCACCCCTTACAAAGCCGTTTTAACCGAAAAAAAAATAATTAAAAACTGCCTACCAATTTGTAGAGTGCACTTCTTACTAGCTTATTGTCAAAAGAAAACCGAAAAGAAAAAAAATAAATTAAAAACATATAAAACAGTAAGCCAAAAGTGCACTTTCATGAAATTTTGCCAACATTTCAATATGTCGATTTTCACGATTTTCACCACTGCCCAAAACAACCATCTCCAGGAACCCAACAAACACCAAACTTGGCACATACAACGCTTGACCAAAAACAAAATAGGGCAAAAAAACAAAAACAAAAAAAAACAAAAAAACATGTTCCCCACTGCACTTTTCAGGGTTGTGAAGGTTACCCTAGGGGTGAAAAGTGGAGGTACCTGTTAACCATTTGTGGTAAGGGGTGGACTGAAAATAGAGGGGACTCTGTAATTAGACCAAAGATGATGATCTTCTCCACTCTCAGGCTGTAGAATCCCCATATGGATGTGGATGTGCTTCTGATGTTCGAGTTGTCATGGCCTTTAACCGAGCGCCCGGGTTGTTAGTGGACAGTCAGCAAAGGACATCACAAGCAGCAAAGCAAGGGTGAGGCAACAAGCCATCGAGCAGCAAGCAACAGCGCAGCGCAAAGATTGCCCGGGCACAAGGGCGGCAGGTTGGCAGCCAAACAACGAGGCAAGCACTACGAGCAGCAAAGGCAGCGAGGCAAAGGGAGAGGAAAAGCGGATGGGCAGCCGGGCAGTGAGACAGCGAGGGAGCTCACAAAGTAAACGAAAGGGCATCCAAGCAGCAGGGACGCACTGAGAAGGCAAGTGGAAGGACAGTCGGGCAGCAAGGCGTGGCTCAGTAGATACACCCATGGAAGGTAGAAGTAGAGCCCCGAGTTCGAATCCGGATGATGGTACCTGAAGCAGGAAACCACTGACAAAGTAGTCGACTCTGCATGGACGGTTAGAAGATCATCTCCTCCACTCTCACAGCATGTTAAAACTCTGGAGACTGTAGGTTCACAAACACCATTGGAGCCAGGGAGTCGATTCGATGAATGTCTGTCATCACTCAGGAAACACAGACACATAGGCATCCCAGACGTAGCCACTCTCTTGATAGAGTTGCAGGTTACCCATACAAAAAGGCACTGACCGTTTGGCACATCTTAAAGGTGCTCACTTAGACAGAGGAGAGGCACAGGAAAAGGTCAAAGAGCGCACAACGTGAATGACGGAAAACACATCTATACCTAATTCGTAGAGATCCCTTAAAGGAGGTGCAAGGTTCCCTATGTCTGTGTATTTAGCAGGAAGTGCTGACGTATCTACCTGCCTGACACACACTTTGCCCTAATGAGGGGAAAAAAAAAAAAAAAAAAAAAAAAGGATTGTTAGCCTCCTTAAAAATGACAATTGTTCCTCGGTGACTCGTCCAGCCACCAAATGAAGGGACATCAGACGTAACACGAGTATATATACACAGTTTCGGCCGCTTTGCAGCTCTCTCACGCCCGTTTCATGGCCTTAGTTTGTACTAAGTTAGAACTGCTTGGTAGTGTATGCCAATATGTTAAACTCCAACTGCCATAGCTGATAGATCATTAGCAGGGGGGAAAATGGAACCCACCCAAAGCCTCATGTGTTCATACAGGCAGCCATAACAAACCGTGACCAGGGTTGTCCAGCCCTGGCCCCTTCAGGGGTCCAGGGGTCCAGGGATGGGCAACTACAACCCCGCGTCCGTTCCCCCCCAAAAGAAAAGAAAAGGAAAAAAAAAAGAAATCAGAATTTTTTTATTTTTTTATTTTTTTTTCCAACTTTGTATACGGGAAGCCTACTTAATGAGGTGATAAGAGCATCCCCCGTAAGTAGGCCCTGGCGTCGAAGACTCCATCTATTGGTGGGGAGCTGCACCTGCTGGAAATGGGGTCCAGCGTCCTTTGTACAATGATGAAAATGTATCTGGTCTGGAAAACGGGTCCAGCGTCCCCGTACAATGGTGCGAGTGTATGTGCTGGAAAACAGGTCCAGCGTCCCTATCCATCTAGTCTATAGAGTCTCCAAAACAAACTGAGGCATCAATCCAATCAAACGAAACCCTAACCGTGATGTGATGCGTATTACAGAGATGTGATTTGTATCTGCTGGAAAACAGGTCCAGCATCCCTATATCGTGTTGTGTAACTATGTCCAACAGGCAGAAACTATCTACATATGTCCATATTCTATATCTATCGAAGTGTAATCACGAAACCCTAAGCACTATGTGATGTATATGATCTTTTATCAATCAAGCCTAAAAAGCGAAGCTCTATCAATGAAGAGAGATGTATGATCTGGACGTCCAGTCCGGTATCCAATATGCATTATCATGTGGAAAATCATGTGGAACTGTCATTTGGGCGTTGATTACTTCCCTGCGAAGGGAAGGATTGACCTCCTGCTAACCCACCACCACCCAACAAGACGATCAGCCCCCCGTTGATGATTGGTATTGCAGGTCGGGTAACATCAATCACCCCCAGCTATCCTACTCCTATCCTCCGGCAAACCACGAGGAGGAACTCCGTATGAAGGTTGGAGGGGGGGAAAGCAGTAAACCACCTCTCTGTATCAACCCCATATCCTACCATGTCTGCTTACAGCATCCCTCCCACCGCGGTGATGATAATCTCAGCCGCCCGGCTGTCACTTCCTACCCTGTTGCTCCCTTGGTCGTGGCCGCCGTCGTGGTGGTCGTCGTTGTCGTTGTTGTTGTTGTTGTTGTTGTTGTTGTTGTTGTTGTCGTCGCCGTCCCTATCGTTGAGGAGGGGGAGAACGACAAACCCCTTTTCCATTCCAACCCCAATCTCCCGTTCATCCGATTGCGGCATCTCCCCCATCATGCCGCTGATGATCGCAACTGCCCGGACACAGCTGTCAGCCCTGCTGCTTCCATAGTCGTCACTGCCGTCATCGTCGTCGTTGCTGTTGATATGATCGCTGTTGTGGTTGTTGTTGTTGTTGTTGTTGATGATGTTTTCGCCGTTGTTGTTGTTGTTAGTGTTATCGCCACTTTTATCGTTGTTGCTGTTATAGTTGTCGCACCCATCCATTGATGTTGTTGTTAATCTTGATGGTACCGCTGTTACCTCGTGTGCATCCTCACGATCAATAATGCCCTCCAAACGGTCTTCCAGAAGAGCATACGGATCGTGACCCTCATTGAATAGGGTTTTGCAAACTGACATGATGCCATCTGCCCTCCTCCAATCGATGTAAACGTCAAGCCGAGAATCCAGCCCCTCCAGCTCCCAGATGATCGCCAGCATGTCCTCACTTTTGTCCTATTCCAACCAGCCAGAGCGATCGCTCCCCCTTCGACCTCTGGCTCCATTTGCGTCCGCAAAGACGTGTCCCTCACAATCTCTTGTAACCATCTGCATCCGTTCTCCAAGGTAATCAGCCGTTCATTTGCTCCAATAGGTAGCTCCCTCTCCAAATTCTCCTCCATGGTAGTCATTGCTCGCTCAAAGAGCCGCGCCGTTTTTGTGCAGTAATCCTCGATTCAATCACGGTTGCCGCTTCCCCTCTTCACGCGTCACGGTTGCATCCGCAAAGACGTGTCCCTCACAATCTCCTGTAGCCATCTGCATCCGTTCCCCGAGGTAATCAGCCGTTCATTTGCTCCAATATGTAGCTCCCTCTCCAAATTCTCCTCCATGGTAGTCATGGCTCGCTAAAAGAGCCACGCCGTTTTTGTGCAGTAATCCTCGATTCAATCACGGCATGCGCTTCCTCTGTTCACGCGTCACGGTTGCATCCGCAAAGACGTGTACCTCACAATCTCCTGTAGCCATCTGCATCCGTTCTCCAAGTTAATCAGCCGTTCATTTGCTCCAATATGTAGCTCCCTCTCCAAATTCTCCTTGGCTCGCTCAAAGAGCCGCACCGTTTTTGTGCAGTAATCCTCGATTCAATCACGGCTATCGCTTCCCCTGTTCACGCATCACGGTTGCATCCGCAAATACGTGTCCCTCACAATCTCCTGTAGCCATTTGCGTCTGTTCTCCAAGGTAATCAGCCGTTCATTTGCTCCAATATGTAGCTCCCTTTCCAAATTCTCCTCCATGGTAGTCATGGCTCACTCAAAGAGCCGAGCCGTTTTTGTGTATTAATCCTCGATTCAATCACGGCTGGTGCTTCCCCTGTTCACGCGTCACGGTTGCATCCGCAAAGACGTGTCCCTCACAATCTCCTGTAGCCATCCGCATCCATTCTCCAAGGTAATCAGCCGTTCATTTGCTCCAATATGTAGCTCCCTCTCCAAATTCTCCTCCATGGTAGTCATGGCTCGCTCAAAGAGCCGGACCGTTTTTGTGCAGTAATCCTCGATTCAATCACGGCTGGCGCTTCCCCTGTTCATGCGTCACGGTTGCATCCGCAAAGACGTGTCCCTCACAATCTCCTATAGCCATCTGCATCCGTTCTCCAAGGAATTCAGCCGTTCATTTGCTCAAATATGTAGCTCCCCCTCCAAATTTTCCTCCATGGTAGTCATGGCTCGCTCAAAGAGCCGTGCCGTTTTTGTGCAGTACTCCTCGATTCAATCACGGTTGGCGCTTCCCCTGTTCGCGCGTGACGGTTGCATCCGCAAAGACGTGTCCCTCACAATCTCCTGTAGCCATCTTCATTCGTTCTCCAAGGTAATCAGCCGTTCATTTGCTCCAATATGTAGCTCCCTCTCCAGATTTTCCTCCATGGTAGCCATGGCTCGCTCAAAGACCCGCGTCGTTTTTGTGCAGTAATCCTTGATTCAATCACGGCAGGCGCTTCCCCTGTTTACGCGTCACGGTTGCATCCGCACGGACGTGTCCCTCACAATCTCCCATAGCCATTTGCATCCGTTCTCCAAGGTAATCAGCCGTTCATTTGCTCCAATATATAGCTCCCTCTTTAAATTCTCCTCCATGGTAGTCATGCTCGCTCAAAGAGCCGCGCCGTTTTTGCGCAGTAATCCTCGATTCAATCACGGTTGGCGCTTCACCTGTTCATGCGTCATGGTTGCATCCGCAAAGACGTGTCCCTCACAATTTCTTGTAGCCATAAGCATCCGTTTCCAAGGTAATTAGCTGTTCATTTGCTCCAATATGTATCTCCCTCTTCAAATTCTCCTCCACGGTAGTCATGGCTCACTCAAAGAGCCGCGCCGTTTTTGTGCAGTAATCCTCAATTCAATCACGGTTGGCGCTTCCCCTGTTCACGCGTCATGGTTGCATCTGCAAAGACGTGTCCCTCACAATCTCCTGTAGCCATTTGCATATGTTCTCCAAGGTATTCAGCTGTTCATTTGCTCCAATATGTAGCTCCCTCTCCAAATTCTCCTCCAAGGTAGTCATGGCTCGCTCAAAGAGCCGCGCCGTTTTTGTGCAGTAATCCTCGACTCAATCACGGTTGGCGCTTCCCCTGTTCACGTGAAAGAGCCGCGCCATTTTTGTGCGGTAATCCTCGATTCCATCACGGCTGGCGCTTCCCCTGTTCACGCGTCACCGTTGCATCCGCAAACACGGGTCCCTCACAATCTTCTGTAGCCATCTGCATCCGCTCTCGAAGGTAATCAGCCGCTCATTTGCTCCAATATGTAGCTCCCTCTCCAAATTCTCCTTCATTGTAGTCATCGCTCGCTCAAAGAGCCGCGTCGTTTTTGTGCAGTAATCCTCGATTCAATCACGGTTGGCGCTTCCCCTATTCACGCGTCACGGTTGCATCCGCAAAGACGTGTCCCTCACAATGTCCTATAGCCATCTGCATCCGTTCTCCGAGGTAATCAGCCGTTCATTTGCTCCAATCAGTAGTTCCCTCTCCAAATTCTCCTCCATGGTAGTCATGGCTCGCCCAAAGAGATAATGAATCTAATTACATGCATTGGTATTCTTACAGCTTTCTTAGGTTCTACTATAGCCCTTAGTCAAATTGATCTAAAAAAAAGTTTAGCTTATTCAACAATTTCTCAACTTGGATATATGATGGTTGCAATGGGGAATCTGTAGCAGTAACTCATTCTCCCTTAAAAGGAGGTGATCCAGCCGCACCTTCCAGTACGGCTACCTTGTTACGACTTCACTCCAGTCACTAGCCCTGCCGAAGGCCGTTTTTGTGCAGTAATCCTCGATTCAATCACGGCTGGCGTTTCCCCTCTTCAAGCGTCACGGTTGCATCCGCAAACACGTGTCCCTTACAATCTCCTGTAGCCATCTGCATCCGCTCTCCAAGGTAATCAGCCGTTCATTTGCTCCAATATGTAGCTCCCTCTAAAAATTCTCCTCCACAGTAGTCATGGCTCGCTCAAAGAGCCGCGCCGTTTTTGTGCAGTAATCCTCGATTCAATCACAGCTAGCGCTTCCCCTGTTCACACGTCACGGTTGCATCCGCAAAGACGTGTCCCTCACAGTCTCCTGTAGCCATTTGCATCCGCTCTCCAAGGTAATCAGCCGTTTATTTTCTCCATTATGTAACTCCCTCTCCAAATTCTCCTCCATGGTAGTCATAGCTCGCTCAAAAAGCCGCGCCGTTTTTGTGCAGTAATCCTCGATTCAATCACGGCTGGCGCTTCCCCTGTTCATGCATCATGGTTGCATCCGTTAAGACGTGTCCCTCACAATTTCCTGTAGCCATAAGCATCCCTTTCCAAGGTAATTAGCTGTTCATTTGCTCTAATATGTATCTCCCTCTTCAAATTCTCCTCCATGGTAGTCATGGCTCGCTCAAAGAGCCGCGCCGTTTTTGTGCAGTAATCCTCGATTCAATCACGGTTGGCGCTTCCCCTATTCGCGCGTCTCGGTTGCATCCGCAAAGACGTGTCCCTCACAATCTCATGTARCCATCTGCATCCGTTCTCTAAGGTAATCAGCCATTCCTTTGCTCCAATATGTAGCTCCCTCTCCAAATTCTCCTCCATGGAAGYCWTGGCTCGCTCAAAGAGCCGCGCCGTTTTTGTGCAGTAATCCTCGATTCAATCACGGTTGGCGCTTCCCCTGTTCGCGCGTCACGGTTGCATCCGCAAAGACGTGTCCCTCACAATCTCATGTAGCCATCTGCATCCATTCTCCAAAGTAATCAGCCGTTCCTTTGATCCAATATGTAGCTCCCTYTCCAAATTCTCCTCCATGGTAGTCATGGCTCGCTCAAAGAGCCGCGCTGTTTTTGTGCAATAATCCTCGATTCAATCACGGCAGGCGCTTCCCTTGTTCACGCGTCACGGTTGCATCCGCAAAGACGTGTCCCTCACAATCTCCTGTAGCCATCCGCATCCGTTCTCCAAGGTMATCAGCCATTCATTTGCTCCAATATGTAGCTCCCTTTCCAAATTCTCGTCCATGGTAGTCATGGCTTGCTCAAAGAGCCGCGCCGTTTTTGTGCAGTCATCCTCGATTCAATCACGGTTGGCGCTTCCCCTGTTCACGCGTCACGGTTGCATCYGCAAAGACGTGTCCCTCACAATCTCCTGTAGGCATCTGCATCCGTTTTCCAAGGTAATCAGCCGTTCATTTGCTCCAATATGTAGCTCCCTCTCCGAATTCTCCTCCATGTTAGTCATGGATCGCTCAAAGAGCCGCGCCGTTTTTGTGCAGTAATCCTGGATTCAATCACGGCTGGCGCTTCCCCTGTTCACGCCTCACGGTTGCATCCGCAAAGACGTGTCCCTCACAATCTCTTGTAGCCAACTGCATCCGTTCTCCAAGGTAATCAGCCGTTCATTTGCACCAATATGTAGCTCCCTCTCCAAATGCTCCTCCATGGTAGTCTTGGCTCGCTCAAAGAGACACGCCGTTTTTGTGCAGTAATCCTCCATTCAATCACGGGTGGCGCTTCCCCTGTTCACTCCTCACGATTGCATCCGCAAAGACGTGTCCCTCACAATCTCCTGTAACCATCTGCATCCGTTCTCCAAGGTACTCAGCCGTTCATTTGGTCCAATATGTAGCTCCCTCTCTAAATTGTCCTCCATGGTAGTAATGGCTCGCTCAAAGAGTCGCGCCGTTTTTGTGCAGCAATCCTCGATTCAATCACGGCATGCGCTTCCCCTGTTCACGTGTTATGGTTGCATCCGCAAAGASTTGTCCCTCACAATCTCCTGTAGCCATCTGCATCCGTTCTCCAAGGTAACCAGCCGTTCATTTGCTCCAATATGTAGCTCCCTCTGTAAATTTTCCTCCATGGTAGTCATGGCTCGCTCAAAGAGCCGCGGCATTTTTGTGCAGTAATCTTCGATTCAATCACGGTTGGCGCTTCCCATGTTTACGCGTCATGGTTGCATCTGCAAAGACGTGTYYCTCACAATCTCCTGTAGCCATTTGCATCCGTTCTCCAAGGTGATCAGCCGTTCATTTGCTCCA